ACGAATTTGAAACACTTTGCGATCATATCTTTATATTATAGTATCATGGTATATACAGTATTTATATTATATTATATTATAGTATCATGATGCGAGCGTGATTATATCATATATACATGGCGTTGGTAGTTGCGTCGCCTAATATCAACTACCGTGTGGCGCAACTATCAACGCTATGTTTTCTGTTACAATCAGGCTCCCTGGATATGCGGGATGTCGGGCTAAGACATGAAGGCCAAAACAGTTAAGTACATATAAAATATAAAATAAAATAATAATAATATAAGCATGGGTATAAGGCTCTTGTATCTAAGCGGAAGAGTAAGACATGGACGAGCATGGTACGAGCTTATGAATTTATATAACAAGGATCTCAAAAGTCATGGAACTATATAGATATGCGTTTGTGTATAAATGCATGTACATTGTGATATAATATCACGTATATATGTAGATATATTCGCTAGCTTTTAATTCCACAACTTTTGAGTGTACAAGTGCGTTCTAATTCACGATTCATTTTTCAGAGTCTTTTGAGGTTATGTAGTAAAAACATGGAGAAAACGGGGTTTTTCGGTTTTTCAGAAAGTTGTGAGATAAAACTAATGCTTTGAATAACTGATTTTGATTGTAAAGGGAAAGATACATGTGAAAATGTAAATTACCATTCATTTAGACACTGACTTTAGAGGTTATATAGCGAAAGCTTAAAAACAACGCCGAAAAAACGGGGTTTTTCGTTTTTTTTAGCATGCTGTAGGAAAAAAATAATAGTTTTAATAGCTTGTTTCGATTGTAAAGGTAAGAATACATATAAAAATATGAATTATCATTAATTTAGATGTATGTTGTTAAGGTTATGAGTCATCCATCTCACTAAAAAACCTAATTTATGTTTATTTTATTAATATTTTTTTTATTTTAAAAAAACTGATATTATTGTATCTTATGGCAGTATAAATAAATTTTTTGTTTTCTATGTAATACTTATTTTTTTTTGTTTTGTTCCTAGGCCCATACAATTTATTGTTAAGGGGTGGGGGTGCTTCAGAAAAATGCCAAAAAAAGCAGTTTTTTCGATTTTTAGGCATTTTCCACGTTGAAAATGATAATAATACCTATGCCATTCGAAAGAACGGGAAAAAACCATAAAAAAACATTGTTTTAAAGTTGGCCAAAAATTTCCGACATAACCTAAAATATTACTGAAAATTTCAAATATTTTTCCTTGGCTCAATTTTCAAGCTAAAAATCTGAAAAAAATCAGGTAGTATTGTATTATTAAACTACGCTTTCATGAATTTTTTCAGATTTTTTGCAGCAATACAGCGTCTAAAAAAATTTTTTTTTCTTTAAATACGTTTTTTCCCATAGCGAACCCCAGAGGCACCTAAGGACTTGAAAATTTAACTGAGTGAGTTTTTAATTATGTCCTTTCGAATGGCCAGGCCCAAAACTAAATCGAGCATGGTGCAATTTTGACCATCTTATCCGCAATAGCCTTTAAGTTATAGCAACAGAGAAGGACGTAACTTAACCAAAGATCGGTTTTATAAAGTTCTCAAAAATTGAGAAAATGTAAAGAGATCGTGGTTAGGCTATAGTGAAAGTAATAAAGCTCTATATTGTATTTTTTGCAGGATGTTTCATACTTAACATCAAATCAAGTGTCTGCTTAGCTTAAGAAAAAGTTTTTGTTAATTGAAGGAAACTTAATTAAAAAGTGCTTAAACATGAATATTCATCTAACCACAAACTTTTTTGTTTGTTTGTGGAAAGCGTTAGTTTCTTGTTTGGGAATGGGAGATATTGATGCAGAACTCCCAAACAAAATCCATCAAGAAGTGTCTTACTGGAAGGCAACATTGCGCTAAATTATCAAAGCTATTCTATTCCTAGCAAAGCAAGGAGGCCCATTACGAGAAACTAAGGAAGATTGTGATTTCAGCGGCCCATAAACTAGAAAGTTTTTAAACAAAGTAGAACTTACATAGCATTACAATGTCCCTCGTCAATAAAATATTGAGCAGCATAATAAATGGTAAATCTCGTATTTATCACATAAAATACCAGTAATAAAGCTCTATATTGCATTTCCTTCAGACTGTTGTCACACTTAACATCAAATCAAGTGACTGCCTTAACTAAAAAAGGAACTTGCTAATTGTAGAAAACTCAATGAAAAGTTTGTTCGTGAAAAGCGTTAGAATCTTTTTTAGGATAGGGAAGTATTGATGCAGATCTTCAAAACACGATCCGTCAAGAAGAGTCTGGAAGGCGGTATTGCGCTGCATTATCGATGCTATTCTATTCCTAGCAAAGCAAGGAAGTCCATTACAAGGAACTAAGAAAGACTATGATTGTCACAGTCAAAGTACTTTGAAAGACAAGTACTGAGAATGTGTACCAAGTAGCTATGTTAGAGGTTATTGACTGGATGATTACGGAACTTAGTGACAGGTTTAAGGCTTTGGCCAACATAAACAGCAAGTTTGGATTTTTGAATGCAGTTCGAATTAAATAAATGCAAACAAAAGATCTAAAAATATAAGCAGACGAATTGGCAAATATCTATGCTGCTAATCTCAACGTTGAAGAATTTAAATTTAAAATAGAAAGATTCAAGCACCACGCTTTATCAGTTGACAAAAATTTAAAGGAAGCTGCGTCAAGAGAAATGTTAAAACTTATTTATAAAAATAATCTGTAGGAAGGCTAGCCTAACATTACTACTGCACTGAGAATGTTTCTCACGCTGCTAGTTACAGTGTCATCTGGAGAACATCTGGAGAAGTTTTAGCAAATTATTAAAAACTACATAAGAAGTACAATGGAACAAGCATAATAGTATTTGACCACAAACGAGCATCCCTAATCAATGTTGACGACATCATCAGTACATTTGCAGAGAATAAGGCTGGAAGAATTAATTTGTTGAGGAACCATACATATCAAATTTACACTGCAAACAAATTATTTGTAATAGTCATGTACAGTTGCGGTCACGGAATAGTTTACAGGTTCACGTATCTAGGAGCCCATTTTTTAAATTTTTACTTCGTTTAAACGCACCTTTTACGTCAAAGTGACGTTGCCAGTGGTGTACTAGCTAGAATAGGTAGATTAAAATTAAAATATCAAAATATTTTACAAAATGAAAAATATAGAAAACAGTTTTTTGAATAAAATGGATTATGATCTTAATAACGAAAATAAAGAAGTCTTTTTTTTTAATATGCATTTTATTTTAAATCTATTTTATATTAAATAACGATAAACAATGATAAATAATAATTAATATTTGGTGGAAGCCCCATTCTTGTCAATACAATTTTGCAGTCTTCTGTTCATAGATAGCACCAATCCCCTCATGTTATAGTTAACAAGCTCTTCCCATGCCTGCTCAATTGCTTCCCATAATTCAATTCTATTCCGTGGTCTAAGGTTTCTTTCATTTAGTTTCTTTGTTAACTCTGCCCACACATTTTCGACGGGGTTAAAGTCTGCACTACGGGAAGGCCACGGAAGAACATTAACATCAGTTTCTTCTAGCCATTCTCGAACAATTCTACTCGTATGCACCGGGCAATTGTCATGTTGGAAGATAAAGTCGTTGTTGGGGAATCTCTGGATCACCGATGGCAACATTGTGTGCTCAATAATATGTTTGTAATATAATCCTGTTAACTTCTCCTCTACATGATAACAAACGCCCGGGCCTTCGGCACTTATCCATCCCCATACGTTGACAGAGAATCCTCCACTATTTCTTAAATGATGCGTATACTGTTCATCATACCTATGATTTCTCGGCCTATAAACTCTTATTCGACCATTATTATACGACTGAAATACTTTTTCATCGGAAAATACAACCCTAGACCAAAAATTCTCATCGCGGTTTATAAATTCATTACAAAATTCAACTCGTCTCCTCTTGTGATCCTCAGTCAAAAAAGGTTTCCGTGCAGCTACACAATTTAGCAGTCCACTTGCTTTAATTCTTCGACGTGCAGTGCGAATACTGCCTGGAAACGCTGCCTCTTCTCTTGCCTTTTGAGCTGTGGCAAAAGGAGATTCTCTCAAATAATCTACTAACATCTCATCCTGTTGATCTGTGGAAATCTTCTGCCCTCCTGAACCGCCCAACCGTGCTATAGAGTGAAAATTATCCCATCTTTGTTTAATCTTCCATATGCACATATGACTCACGTTCAAATCAGCAGCAACTTGCCTTAGTGACCAACCTTCTTCGAGTTTGGCAATTGCTCTTGCTTTTTGCGCATAATTCAAATGTATTCTAACCATTTTGGAAGAGTTTAATATACTTTTATTTTATTGTTGAACACTCGCGAAAGCATTGACGTTTTGAAATTTTTTGACTTTGACATTTATCAAATCCGTACGACACTGCAATTTTACAGTATTACAATATAAAAAGTAAGGTGTAAACTATTCCGTGACCGCAACTGTACCTATATGTGTATTAATAAAAGTGTAATATATGTATTAATATACATGTGTTTTAATATACTTAATAAAACTAATTAATAGTGTACATATGGCACGCAATTTCAACTACCGCATCTAAAAAAAATAGCTTACAGGTAAGGTATGGTAAGGTTCTTTGACGAAGGGGGGGGGCTGCAAATTGGTCTTTGCCCCCTGACAAATCTCCTAGTCTCCGGCCCTGTGAGAATATATACACCACAGTTGCCCGCCATAATTTTACTGTGGACGTAGTAATACCACGTCTAATCACGTAATTTACTGTTGTTTCAGAAATAATCCTAAAAATCCGATAGATCAATTTTCATATTTAGGAATACATTTTTTAATCAATATTTAAATTTACAGGGAGATTCATTTATTGGCAGAAATAACAGCAATTTGTCAATCCTTTGTTAATGTTAATATTTTTGTATTCTTCACAATTTGAGTCAATTGACATATAATATGGTTTAAATGATAAAGATAATTATTAAATTAACTTTTCTCACCTGGAAATAAAGTTAACAAGGGAACGACGTTTTGAGTAACACTAAGGGTAATCTTATGATTTCCATCTTTTTGGGGAGTACAAGACTCCGCAATAAGTTTAATTGGTAACATGTCAGACTTGTTAAAATTTCTAGCACTACCTAAGGAACTTATAACCGTAACACTGACATTCACTGTTAAACTTGGTACCTCCAAATCTTCATATAAGAAAGCGAAACATTCGAACTTCATTATATCTTCAGGATGCAGATGAAAGTCAATGTCTGGTGTTATTTTAATGGGTTTTGAAGCTGATACTGATATCTGTATCTCATCAAAGGCCATCTGAGGTGTTACTTCTACTTTTATTGGGCACATCTGAAGATCTTTTGGATCTTTTAAGTTTGTTTCATAAACACAAGGTAGTAACTCATTACTGACTTGGATTTTGATCGTTATTTCTTTTTCTGGATTTTGATTAGCAAACTTTAAATCTAAAACAAAATAATAATTTATTATTAAATTAATTTAATTTCTAGACTGTGCGATTCTAAAACAATTCTAAAATTCTAATTAACACCTGTGTACGTCAATCTCTCTAGTGTGAGATAAAAATGGTATAAAATCCGAAAATAAAAGCATAAATAAATATAATGCAAAGATTATTGGAGGGAAATTAGGAGAAAATTATTTGAAGTCATATAATGCACGATATATGAAAAAATTAATAAGTATATCGACACAGTTTAAATTTACAAAATGAAATCGAGATATAAAAAGAGAAGTAGCAAAAAGTAAAAAATGAGATGTGGGATCGAAGATGTGCAGAGGTGGATAGGTATATGGGTGGAACAAAGAAGGTGATAAAGTCTCTCCAGAGGGAAGGAAAGAAAAAATCTAACTTACAGTTAATAGATCTGAAACAGTGGAAACACCATTATGAGGTCTTACTAACAGAGGATAGATGTAAATTCCAAGAGATCGAAATGGAAGAAATATCCGGACATACACAAATAATTGAGATAACAACCGGAGAGTTAAACGATGTCCTCAAAAGATCGAAAAACGGTAAAGCAGCAGGACCTGGAGACATCCCAATTGAGTTGGTAAAGTATGAACCAAAAATATTACATGAGATGTTGGTTCAACTATTTAACAAATGTTTAAAAGGAAAAAATATCCCTGATGATTGGAATATTGGATACATCAACACAATATTCAAGAAAGGGGATAAACACAAATGCTCTAATTATGGGGGAATAACTGTTATCAGCTCAGTGAAGAGGTTGTACGGTCGAGTAATAAAAAAAAGAATAGAATCAGAATACGAAGACATAGAAGAACAAAATGGATTTCGTGCAGGCAGATTGTGCACTGATGGTATATTCGTTCTGCAGCAGGTAATCGAAAAACGGAAGGCAAGGAATCTATCTACCCACCTATTGTTTGTAGATTTAGAGAAGGCATACGATACGGTACCTTTGAAAAGCTGTTTCAAACATTGATGAAAGTAGATCTCAGTAGAGAGTATGTGGATGATATCGCAAATATATACAAAAATTCAAGAAGTGTCGTTAAAGAAGGAAACTTTATATCTGAATCATGTCCAATAACAAAGGGGCTTAAACAAGGATGTTGTCTATTTCCGACCTTATTTAAAATATATATTCAATCATCCCTAGAGCAGTAGAGGAAACAAGTATCCGGAATAGGAATAGACATAGGCGGTGGTAAATGTCTAACAACTTTATTTTTCGCAGATGATCAGGTAGTCGTAGCGAATGATTAGGAAGACATAGACTACATGTTTAGAAAACTAAAGAAAGAATATGAAAAATGGAGCCTCAATATGAATATGTCAAAGACAGAGTATCTTAAAATAGGAGATGATGAAGAAAATCCAGAGTTAGAAATTAGAAACACAAAAAAATGCAATTAATATAAATATCTCGGATCTATAATATCTAAAGAAGGCACTACCAAAAGAGACATCGAAAACAGAACGCAGCAGGGAAAAAAGCGGTTAACATTCTAAACTCTCTACTATGGTCTAAAGATATTAGACAAGAAACGAAATTGACAATCTATCGAACCTTGGTAGAGCCTATTATGACTTATGGGGCAGAAGTTTGGCAGATCACGAAAAAAGATAGAAAAAGAATAGAAGTAGTACAAATGGATTTTCTAAGGGGAGCGGTATGGTCAAGTGAAGCGAATGAATGAAGTTGATGGCCAAAGATAAGCTTTAAAGAAATACGAGGCGATATATATATATATATATTATATATATATATATATATATATATATATATATATATATATATATATATATATATAATATATATATATATGTTAGATCACTAATCACGAGTTTAACTTTTAAAAAAGAACTTTATTGTTACAAATTAAATATTAAATAATAGTACAAAATTAAATGAATTTAAAATGACTAATAACTGGACTGGTCGAAGTTGCAGCTAAGAGTGGTCCCGGCATCTGAGAATGGCAATTTATAGGTTTGGTATGAAGTGCTGAATCGCTGTTCCCATGAATATTGGCCAACGGTTCGTACAAAGTTCTACTGCGTGGTCAGCTGTTTCTATGGGAATGAAATGATGAAATCTGAAGTCGGCGAACTTAAGCTAGTTCAAGGTTAATATTTTCTCATATAACAGCTCCCCTTATTAGTGAGAAAGTCAATGCCATTGCTTTGACTTTTACAGAGTAATTGGTGTTTCCTGCTTCGCTTTCTTCTTGGACATTGGGTCTTCTTCTGAAGGAGGTTAAGCTTTGAAGTTTCTGTCTAATGGAATTTCTGCGTGGTAATGAAGTGGAGGCTGATCCTGGGACAAGGAGATTGCAATTTTTGGTAATATTTTGGTTCGGTATTGCAGAAAAGGTATAGAATAACTAGGATAATAATCAGGGATAAGGTTGATATAGTGAATAAGGGTAGAGTGTTCCTCAATGAATGATTGGCTCATAATCTGGTCCAGTTCTTCTGAATATTGGTCCAATTTGTGTTGTGCAATATTTAAGTCATCTACGTTGATTTTACTGAGTTTTAGTGGTTTCAATTTTGACAGGTGATTCTTTGTCTCAAAATGGTCACAGCATCTGTAGGGTACGTTAACTGGGTGACTTCTATACGTGATATTTGTATATTTCTCAATTTGGTCTCTAGCATGAATTCTGGTACTGCCGATGAATGCAATGCATTCGGGAATTAATCTTAAGATTGAATTTGTTTTGATTATTTGTGTAGTGACTTCTTTTCTTGCACATTTGATAGTTACTGGTATAGATCGGAAATAGTTAGTAACCATAAATTTCGGTCGATTTCCTGTACATTGTATCCTTGTGCCAAGAGCATGGACATCTGGCAAGTTTTTGGTAAGTTGCTGAGAGGTTTCCAAAAGCTGGGCTTCACATATAGCATCTGTGTCTATGGGGTACGGAAGAATGTCTGTACACATTCTTTGGTTTTGACTGATTTGTTTGCATTTTTTCGGTGTCCATGGGTAAGACATATGAAATTGAATCATCATCTCGCGCAATGTATTTATGAAACAGTTGAAAGTATATGATGAAAACCAGTTTGATTATCTAATATTGGTATTGAATATAATTGATACAAGGTGAATATTTCGGGATCAACTAACGGAATTTCGAGAACGAAAACAATTTTTGAATCAAGCTGATAAGCTTGTAGTTTTATTATGTCAATATACTGAGCTATATTTGACATATAAGTGGGTAGAGGCAATACGTTATTTTGTAATGACTGTGAGATTTCTTTTAATGCGTCCAATAAAGTCATGGGCGAAATAAATAGAACTATGTAGAATTTGCAGGCGAGAGAATGTGATAGAATTTAGTATATCATTTAAATAATTTTCTAAAAATACGTAACTTTCCATTAAGGACTCACATAAATCTAGTATTTGTAATTGTGCTTGGTAAAAGGAGATGTCATTATTAATGTCCAGAAGTGTAGTCTCGATAGTTTTTAAGTCTTTGTTAAAGGTTTCTTCGTCTATTTGCAATTTTTGAATTGTAGTGTTGAAAGTTCTTATAACTGAAGTGGTAACAGATATTTGATTTTTTAGGAGATTTTCAATTTGAGTTTCATCGGAATTTATTTTATTTATACCATTTATTAAAGTATTCGCCGTCAGAGGCGTCTAAATTTCCAGTAATAGATTTCCAGATTGTTCCAATACCATTTACTAAACCGCGTTTTAGGCGTTTATTATAAGGTACTGTGTCGGAGGTTATTTCTTTATATTTTAAGTTAACGGAGTTTGAGATTTGTTTTAGCAGACTAAACATGTGTCTGTACTTCGGCTTGAAAGGCAAGTTTTTCTCGGTGTATCAACGTTAATAAATTTTTCTAATAGGTTTTCCAAAATTCTGTCATTGTTGGATATTGTAGTTTTGATAGGGAATAATTCTTTGTAAACAAGTAAAGTCCATTTGTCGTTAGATATTCGTATAGTTCCTTTTTCATGAAAATATATTCCAATTGTGTTATTAATTGGAGTGAGGAGAATTTGGGATTGGACGATAGAAAGGAGTCCATAGAATCTGTAAAGGAAAATTATTCAAAATAAGGTTTCAGTCTGTCAAAATTTACTTTAGAGGTTTGGTTAGTTTTGGGGTTAAGGATAATTGCGGAATTTGTAAAAACTTCTTGAATTTCGAAAGGTCCATTAAAAAGATTATCCGATTTTGATTTACTTTGGGATTCCTTTACGTAAACTTTGTCACCAATTTTAAAATCAGGTCTTCGTTCTGAAATATTCTCGTCAAATCTTACTTTCGCCTTTTCTTTCTGTCTTTCTGTTTTTGCTTTGGCTACTTTGTAAAAATATTCCATGCGATTATTCAGGTCTCGAATATATTTGCTCATTAGTGTTTTTTGATTGTATAGAGTTTCTGGTGGTCGGCTTGCAGTGTGGGTCTTATTTTTGTGTTGTTATAGCATATTATTGCATAAGGAAGTATAGTGAAGGGATGATCGTTGGGGTTCTCGGCTTGATTTGCTCTAATCATTTCTGAGAGTGTGGCATGAAATCTTTCCACAGACCCATTAGATTGTGGATGGTTAACACTAGAAAATGTTAGTTTGATGTCGTATAGTTCGCATAGATCTTTGATTATAGCATTCTCGAATTCTCGACCGCAATCACAATGAATTCTTAGTGGTGTTCCATAGTGTTGAAAGAAGAGTAGGAGTGTGTTGGCTACTGTTACTGCCTTTTTGTCTTCCAATGGATAGGCTTGCGTGAATTTTGTCAATTCGTCACGAATAGTTAAAGCGTAGTTCCTAGTAGGGTATTCGAATATATCAATATTTATTCTTTCGAATGGTGTTTTTGGAGTTTCTGTTATGACTAATGGCCCACTTAAGTTTTTCCTACAAATCTTAACTTTTTGGCAAATTTCACATGCTTTTACAAATTTCTCTACATCTTTTGTTAAATTCTTCCAA